AAAACTTGGCAATAATACCCAGAAACATTCACACATTCAGATTTTCTTTAGATGTTTACCTGGAATATGTAGCTATTTCATCTTTCAGTGTGATTGTTTAATTATTTTTAAAACTCCCATCCTTACCCTTCCAGGTTACCTGAACAGCATTTTTTTTTTTTCTTCCTCCTATCATCCATCTTGTATATTTACTCATCTCCTTCTCCCTGCCAATTTAGTGGTAGTTGTTCAATGATCAGGATTGTCTATCTGTAGTCAGCTGAGTACATATATTGATCTGTGTCACTGTGTTTATGCACTGGACCAACTATTGTTTACCATTCATGAAATACCAGCAAAAAAAGGAGAAAAAAAGAAGACAAAAACACTTGCACAATGTTGTAGAATGTCCATTAACCCAGATGAGAAATCAAGGCAGCTGTTTTCAAATCAACACATACTGTTTTAAAATGAAACTGAATGGTAAACAATGCTTTCCGTTGTACCCCCTTAGCCGTCCTCTCAATTCTCTTTGGTCTAGTTTTTATTATTTTTGGTTTCTTATATTATTTTTTTTCTTTGACTACAGGTTCTGCTCGTTTCCTTTACACCTAGCTATGTATTTTCCTACTTCTGGTTGAAAATAAATTCTGTATTATCTGTTTCAAGCCGTGTCACCTCTTATTCTTTGCAATGGATATTGGAAAATAAATTCTATATCTGTTCTCCTTGTCGTGCCTGCTTTTTTTTTTTTTTTTTTTTTTTTTTTTTTTTTTTTTTTTCTCCTCCCTCCTCCCAGCCTTTCTCAGGTTTGGGTTAACACGTGCGTATTTCTGTTCCTCTTCCTCGGTTGGTGACTTCATCAGATGTTGCCAACAGGAGATCACTGGCTCAGATTATATAGTTTTCTCACGGCTCCACACAGTCGGAGTCATTCTGTGGTTTCCATCTGTACCGTTCTTGTGAATATGATCTCAGAAACGCTGAGGGTGAAGGGCACTTTGACCTCTTGTGTTGAGGCTCTATATGCTAAATATAATTCAAAGGTTTAATTTTGAAGGAAGAAAGTCAGAGATATTTTATATTATAGCTTAATGTTATAAGCAATTTGTCAGTTATGTATATAACTTGGGAGAAAATGAAGCAATTTTGTCTTCTGAAAAGTGAAAGTGCGGTCTACCCATCCTGATGATTTTTTCTTTTTTTTTTTAACTTGTAAGAGACCCCCGTCATTCATTTTTCTCAAATTCCTCTAGACCACCACCTCACTGATGAGCTGAGCATCATCACTTTGTTGAACCAGGCTCAGAGGGGGGGCTCTGAGCCTGGTTCAACAAAGTGATGATGCACAGCTCTGCTGGAGGTTTCTTCCCATTAAAAGGGAGTTTTTCTTTCCCACTGTTGCCAAAGTGCTTGCTCATAGGGGGTCATGTGATTGTTGGGTTTTTCTCTGTATGTATTATTGTAGGACCTTACAATATAAAGTGCCCTGAGGCAATTGTTGTTGTGATTTGGTGCTGTATAAATTGAATTGAGCTGAACTGAATTAAATTTGCTGTCCCCTCTAAATACCTCAGCATGCAGCCGTTATTGCCTCAACCGCTGGCAATAAAAGTGAGTACACCCCTAATTGGGCACAATTTAGACATTTTCAATCAGCTGTTTTCCCTTCCTGGTGACTCGTTAGTGTTACAAGGTCTCAGGTGCAAATGGGGAACAGGTATGTTGAATTTGGTCACAGGAAGTTCAACATTGCACATCATGGCAAAGAATTCTCTGAGGATCTGGAAAATAAAATGCTACTCTACATAAAGATGGCTATAAGAATATTACCAACACCCTGAAACTGAGCTGCAGCAAGGTAGGCAAGACCATACAGCAGTTTAGTAGGACAGGTTGCACTCAGGACAGGCCTCACCATGGTTGACCAACAAAGTTGAGTGCACATTCTCAGCGAATTATCCAGAGATTGTCTTTCGAAAATGGATGTATGAGTGCAGGTTGAATGCATGGGGGGGGGGGTCAGCCTGTCAGTGCTCAGACAATATGCCATACACTGCATCAAATGGCTGTCATCCCAGAAAGAAGCCTATTTTAAAGATAATGCACAAGAAACCGCACAATCAGTTTGCTGAAGACAAGCAGACTAAGGACATGGATTACCTGTGGTCTGATGAGACCAAGATAAATGTATTTGGTTCAGATGGTGTCAGTCGTGTGTGGCAGCAACCAGGTGACGAGTACAAAGGCAAGTGTGTCTTCCCTACAGTCAAGTATGGTGGTGGGATGTCATTGTTTGGGGGCTGCATGAATGCTGCTCGCACTTGGGAGCTACAGTTAACTGAGGTAATCATGAATGCCAACATGTACTGTGACATACTCAAGCACAGCATGATCACTTCTCTTCAGAAACTGGGCCACAGGACAGTATTCCAACATGATAACAATCCCGACACGCCTCCAAAAAGACCATACAGACTTAAACCCAATTGAGCATCCTCAGATGGAAGGTGGAGGAGCGCAAGGTCTCTTACATCCACCAGCTCCATTATGTCATCATGGAGGACTGGAAGAGGATTCCAGTGGCAGCCTGTGAAGCTCTAGTGAACTCCGTGCCCAACAGAGTTAAGGCAGTGTTGGAAAATAATGGTGGCCACCAGTGTTGGTCAAGTTACTTGAAAAAAGTAATCACTAATTACTGATTACTTCCCCCAAAAAGTAATCCCGTTACTTTACTGATTACTTATTTTCAAAAGTAATTGGTTACTTAGTTACTTTTTAAAAACATGATTTACAACCTAAATAGATAATAGACAATAGATAAGAAAGCAATAGATCTTTCAGCCCAATTCTACTTTTTCTGCATAATCCACCATATAAACTTTAATCAAATGGAAAAAGTCTCTTTTTAAAATTTGTTTTATTAGTTTTAATCTTTTAACTTTATGCATCAAGCAAACATTAAATGATATGCAACATTCACTGGCTGGAAGAAATTTGTTTAACATTTAAACCTATTTTCTGCACATTCCAGCACATAAAATAAAATAGGTTTTTGTGTTTACACTCAGTCTTTCAAATAAATGCAAGTGAAACACAGCAGAAAATAAATAAAGCCAAAGACTAGTGGTCCTGTTGCTTTATTTTCACCTGTATGGCGGGAGTGGGCCAGGCGGATGTTTGCCCTGGTGCAGGAATCCGCGAATTTCTCTGTGAATTTCCCATTACATGGCACTGTACTCGGTGCTTGCTCGGAAGTTTAGGGGTTTTTTTGCTGTAAAAAGAAGTTTTCTTCCGACGCAGTGAGCAGCGGAGGCTAATGTTTTTTTCACTTTTTACAGAATCAAACTCAAAGTAAGGTCAGTACTTCCACGCTTTAAACGCTGCACGCTCATACTCTCTCCCGCACTCGTTATATTATTATTATTATATTATTGTTATTCTGCACACAGCTGTTGCGTCGCACTCGCTTACGTCATTGTCATGAGACATTCTCCCAAATAAAATCACAGTTTTAGTAACGCAGTAACGCAGCGTGCTTACGGGAAAGTAACAGTAATCTAATTACCTTTTTTGCAATAATAATCCCTTACTTTACTCGTTACTTGAAAAAAGTAATTGGATTACTGCCCATCTCTGGTGGCCACACAAATTATTGACACTTTGGGCACAGTTTGGACATTTTCACTTAGGGGTGTACTCACGTTTGTTGCCAGCGGTTTAGACATTAATGGCTC